CGCCCCCCCCCCCCCCCCCCACCTAATTGAAATCTATGACATTTAAAATTAGCGTCGAATATATTTTCTCAATCTCATTTGATGTTAAGGTATTTGAATGAATATGATATTTAAAAAGAAAAGGAGATTTTTAACACATAATCTCAATGTATGCATAGTATCAAAACTACCTTTTTAGATGAAAGTTGGTAACAGTACCACATACTTTCACTTTTTTAGTACAAACTTTTATATCAAGTGAACCCGTACAACAATAAGATGAAGATGCTGATATGAAATAGTTTTAAAAAATGTGACTTCTTTTTTACAGATTAAAAAGAAAAATGTGTAATATGGAGTAGAGGGAGTAATATTATAACAACAACGATAATAACATACCCAGTTTAATTCCAACATGTGGGATCAAACTGGGGAGGGTAGTCTGTACGCAGACCTTACCCTTACCTAATGTAGGTAGAGAAGCTGTTTTCAATATACCCTCGGCTCAGGAAGGGCAAGAAGAAGAAGAAGAGGAAAGCAAGTGTCACACCTCCTTTTTACCCCACAAAGATAATATGTATTATGGATGGTGGGTTAAAGAGTTTTTCCAATTAAAGTAACAAATTTGAGTAGGGATTATTTTATTTACAGAGTCGCCACTTGAAATTGATTTTTGGGTGTTCCAAGTCATCTTTTATTTAAATCCCTAGTCAAAGAAAAGTTTGACTCCATTATTATTAGTCTGCAAAAACAAAGGCATTCCCTGAGTCCCGTGGTTCTAGCACGGTCGCTTCATTGACTACAACTTGGCTTGAGTTAATTTTGGATAAACTTTGATTTATTGGTTTTCATGTTTTATCTATCCGCTTTTAATTATTAAAATATAAAATTATCTTTGAAACGAATCACGGGTGTGAATTCGTTTTTATTGTGCCAAAATGATGTCACACGTATGTGTACACAATTAATAGCATTTTATTATATTATGATTTTTTTTGTCAAAGTTGCGCGAACACGTACTTCGGTTTCAATTTTGGAAATCAAAATTATGTCACGCGAACATATACATAACTACGATGATTTGATTAATTTAGGGCGCGCTGAAAGCATTCTAACATACTCAAAAATTATTTTTCTAAGTTTGGGATTATTGTGATGCTTAAGAGTTATACATTCTTCTGACTTAACATCACTCATGGCCTATTCTCATTCCTTGCCAAGAAAGAAACAACTTTAATTTTCTATCTATCCAATTTAATAACTCACTTAAATCACCACTTCAACATGCCAAAACAAAAGAAACGTAACATAACCATATATGTAAGAAAACTAAATCCAAGTCCATAGCATATTTAACAGAAATCGTCCAAAACTTATATGTACTCAAACGAATTAATCTTTAAAATCAATATATAACCCAAATAATACGCAATCAGTACACAAACAATACGAAAGAGATCAAGTATTTTCCATAAAGCAAATGAAATTCATCACGAGCAGATAGAAATACTAATATATCAAAGCAAGTGTATACTAAAAATGTAAAACAAATACTGAGAAAAATGGATTCGAATGGACCTTTATATTGATGAATAAAGCTAAAAATTTGCAACTCAATCGAAATAACAAATCAACAATCGTCGGACGGAAACGCCGAAATTGCGAACCGGAACCTCGACATAGAAGCCTTGTCTGACCGATAAAAATGGGAACAGTTTTAGGTGATTTAAAGCTGTTTTTGGAGCTGTTTAGTGGCTGAAGTTTGGTGATTTCACGGCTGGTTTTAGGTGTGGGTTCGAGTGAAGTTTCAGTTAGTTATCATGACTGTTTCAAGGCTGTTTTCAGGTGGGTTTGGTAGTAGATTTCCAGCTCATTTTTGGGGGTGTTTAACTGGAGAAAAGGGGCTGTTTTGGGGGGTTATCGGCAGCTGTGGGTGGACTGGTCTTCACCTCGTTTTTGGGGTTATTTTCAGCTCGTTTTTAGCTGTTTTGAAGGAGTTTTGGGGCTGGATTTGCAGCTCGTTTTTTGCTGGTCTCTCCTCCCCCGCTGCTGACTTTTGCAGCAATTATATATAGGGTTTTGTTGGTATTTAGAGTGGAGATTAAGCTCATTTCTTTTGTGAGTGCCATGTGTGTTTGTGGAGGGATCATGTGGGGGAAGTGCTTGTGTGAGTTGTTAAAGAGGAAGAGTGGAGTGTGAGTTGTTAAAGAGGAAGAGTAAGAGTGTGAGTTGTGAGAGAATAATTATATTGGTGGTAAAGTGTGTGTTAAGTGACGTGATGGAGTTGGGAAAAATTCAAGCATGGTCAAAAATTAGGTGCTCACAGCATGCCCCTCTTTGTTTGAAAACATGAAGAGTTTTCAGGCAAAGAAAAGATGAGCGATATGACTAATTTTGATCATACCATTATTCAAAAGGGAAGAGGTAAGAGAAGAGAGTGCAACCAAGTCCTGATTTTGGACAACCTACATATCCCGGGTTATAAGGGAATCAGGCCGCGTGTAGTTCAAGGAAAAGGATGGAATGTTGAGTTGGAAAGTCGAGTGAGGTCCCGTCGATGCTCCGGTCTGTGTAGTCCTGTTATTACATCAAAATCAAAAGAAACTAAACAACCCTATCAACTATCAGTTACAAGATTCCTATGTATAAGTCTTCTAACACTTGATCTTGAGTCTTGACTGGTTCTTCACGCAGACTCTGATCTGAACCTTGATGCTATTTAGCTGCAGGTGCTAGTTCATTCTTCTACGGCTTCTTCTGAGCAAAACGGAAAATGTGAAGCTTGTAACTTCAGTCGTGTTTTGAGCAGTCCATATTATTTCCATCTACTTCTGCATTTGGATTCACTTTTTTTTCTTTTCTTTTCTTATTTTGGATTCAGACTTCTTCTTTTGTTCATCTCGAACCTTGTGCCTCGAGGTAAAACCTGCTCAGATATCACAACAAATAAACGAACGAAATTTTTCTGCCCTAGTTTTCACTAGGAAAATTTCGTGAGTTATTGTAACAAAATTCTAAACTACTTCTTTATTGAAAGCAAATAAAGTAATGGTGCACCCTGAAAAGGTCACGATGATTTTTTTTTTATTTGTCCCAAAAGAATGTCTCAACTAAGGATTTGTGTACCTTATGTTAGGAAAATATGGTCAGAGAATGTGATACCCTATATTGGCAATGATACCAGGGAGTGGTGTATCCTGCATTTAAAATCAAATCAACTAGGGAGTGGTGTGCCCTATGTTGGAGAACACAACTAGGGATTGGTGTACCCTATACTGGTAAGGAGATCAGGGATTGGCGTACCCTATGCTGGTAAGGAAATATAATCAGGGGATTGGTGTACCCTGTATTACTGAGAAAAAAATGTAAACNCCAGGGGTTGTCGCCCTATATTACTGAAAAGAAAATATAACCAGGGGTTGGCGCCCTGTATTACTGAGAAAGAAATGTAACCAGGGGTTGGTGCCCTGTATTACTGGAAAAGAAATG